TGGCTCGCAGAGAACTAATTGGTCTTTTTCAAATACAACAATCAAAGCAAATTATTGTATGTCAATACATAGTTCATTCAAAGTTGATATAATTCATGAAGTCTTTCAAAAATAACCTAAATTCAGAATGCAGTACTTCTGAATCTTCAGAAACGCAAAATAAAAGTACAGAACAAAGTAATTTATGAATATTCCGTCTACAAAACATATCCAATTATCCATCCAGAAAAATCTTGTCTTGGGGGCCGATTTCTAGGGAAAATGTTTAGTAAACAAAAGTAGTTCCAAGTGTATGAACTTAACTTTCCATGAAGCAAGTCCCCTGTTTGTTTCTGAGGAAATGGCGGTGGAAAGTAAATGAGATTTTTCACAGAAAAATTGTTAAGAAACAATCGAAATACTGAAGACCCAGATTAGTAGTACGTGATTGACTGCAGGAATTTGAAACTTCTTCAAAAGAATAAAGAGCTGAAGTTACCCGAGATTGAAGCAGAAGGAAGATCGACAACGGAAAGACCCACTTCAGAAAATGCATCCACTTGAGTGAAAGGATAATACTTAAATTGTAACCGATAGGACCCGTTTATTTAACAATAATACTACTCCGCTATTATACATCATAATGATCAAATATAATACTATACTGTAATACAGAATACCCAATTAACTGGTGATGAGAGACTTTCCATCACTTTCTTCTTACACAATAATCTATATATAAATATATATATGTATGTATATTTTAATCAAAATGAGAAAGAGAAAGAGAAAGAGAGAGAGAGTTTGAAACTTGCCGACAATACAGAAGTTTGTGGAATATACAGTGATGGGTGGTTTTGACTTTTGAGTACGTTTGCATTTAATTAAGGATAAATTATAATGGAATTTTTTGCAATTAGATAGTAGTTGAGGGGAATTTTTTTTGTAATTTGCCCTTAATTAAATGCAAACGTACTCAAAAGTCAAAACCACCCATCACTGTATATTCCACAAACTTCTGTATTGTCGGCAAGTTTCAAACTCTCTCTCTCTTTCTCTTTCTCTTTCTCATTTTGATTAAAATATACATACATATATATATTTATATATAGATTATTGTGTAAGAAGAAAGTGATGGAAAGTCTCTCATCACCAGTTAATTGGGTATTCTGTATTACAGTACAGTATTATATTTGATCATTATGATGTATAATAGCGGAGCAGTATTATTGTTAAATAAACGGGTCCTATCGGTTACAATTTAAGTATTATCCTTTCACTCAACTGTTTCTCGGACTGTTTTTAACTAAGGTTCGTTAAAGTGGTTATAGGTCGAAATTACTCCCTTAAAAGATTATCCTTCAGACAATTTCTCTCTTCCCTCTTCCAGTCGAGTAAACCCTCTTCCCGTCGAGTAAATGCTCTCATTCCTTAAAACATAAAGCCAATAGTAGATCAAAAAAATTAACATGTTGAGGTCTCAAGAATATTCACTTGTACACTTAATCTATGACTTAATCTATGACTTATTTTGAGTGATTTCATCCATGTAATTGAACAAATCTTTTGCATGAAAAAAGTGTTATGTTTCCTTTGATTTTTTACCATCTTAATAATAAAAATTTAATAAATAAAAAATAAAAAATAAAAAAACCATCTTAATAATAAGAGTAAGTAACCTTTCCAGAAACTACCTCTTATATATACTTTGTCCACATGGTATGTAATTTTGAAGTAGTAGGTGGTGGAATCAAAACAATATATGATGAGATGATAAATCCATTTCTCTCAAACTCAATGACTTAAATATCCCTTATAATTAGATTTTGTAAATTAAATAGAGGGTAACGATATTCTTTCACATTAAAAGCGTTCATATTTTTAGGTCTTTTACTTGAGTACATCAATTATAATAATTTTGTCTCAAAAATTTATTTTGGAGTATTTCGTGTTCTCGTAGTAAGAATTTTTTTTTTAAAAAAAAAAAATCAGATTTGAAAAAAAAAAAAAAAATTACGTTGCTTTTTAATTGCCAATTTTTGTCCACTTACCTTGCAGTAACATAATTCAATTAAGGAAAACAAATAAATTGGACTAAGGAAACATGACAAATTATTAATGGCGGCTAAAAATCAAGTGCACTGAAGGAGTTCTTGAGTTGCTTAATTTTTTCATCTTCCATTCCAAGTGGATTTTTTTTTTCTTGTGCGGTTGTACTCAATTTTATTTTATTAATTATACATAACTTAAATATGATTTTATTGGCTTTTCATTTTTTTGGAATTTTTCTTTGCTGCTTCATACTATTAAGGGGTAATTTCGTCGGAATAATTCTCTCAAACAATCACTTAAACGGACATCAGTTAAAAAATTCTCTTAAAATAGTTGAGGGGAGTTTTTGCCAAAAATAAGGGAGGGTTTTCACAAATGATTAATAGTTAAGGGGGATTTTTTACAATTCGCCCTTTAATTAATTTATATTTATTTTTAACAAAGGTATAACGAATATTTTCTTAAAAATAATGAGAATTATTTTTGAATGAGTTGCGAAGTTTGTGCTGTTAAGAAACAAATTTGTGAAGCTTTGAGTTTAAAAGGCAAATGAAATGCATGAATAATTAAAAGGTTAAGTTTCAGTGTCATTTCTATCATTATTTTTTATTAGAATAAAAAATAAGTAAGAAATAAGAGAAAGAAATGAGACAATTCAGATAATTAAAGTCCACTTGAGCTCAATACTAGAAATCTATTTAATTACTTATTATAAAATTTCATTATGATCCTAATAATGTTTGCTTAAGAAACCTAATAATGTTTGCTTAAGAAACGGAAGGAAAGAAAAGGAAAAAAAGAAGGAAAGGTAATAGTCCTTGTATATAGTATAGGGATGGCAACGGGGTAGGGATTCTATTCCCCATTTCCATCCCTGATGCATTTTTCATTCCCCATTCTCACCCCCATCCCTGCTTAAAATTTTGTCAGAATTTTCATACCTGCCCTCGCCCCCGACACCTTATCCCTGTCCTCGCCCCCGGCCTCAACCTCATAATTTTTTTTACTAAAAAAACACATTTTTTTTTTCTTATTTTCATATATATAATATTAATTTAGTAATAAATTATTATATGTAAGGGTATATTAATAACTTTACACTTAATCGGGGCGGGGCGGGTTTACCCCATCTCCGCCCCCGACCCTGACCCCGGTGGGAATTCATAATTTGCTCTCATCTCCATTCCCGTTTAGCTAAAAGGATCCCTATTCCCGTTATAAACGGGGCGGGATGGGGCCCTAATATACAAGATAGGTAACATGTCCAATGGATCAAGATGGAATATATCCCAATTCTGAGTACACTCAATGCAACTAATCATATTTTTCAAAATTATGTTAAAATTGGGTTGGTCAAATTAGGTTGAGATTACCAATTACTACGTTTTTATTATTATTTATTTTTATTAAAATACAAATGATCTAATAAAAATATTATTATTAATACTAATATATAAATATTAGAAAGAAAAAAAAAGAAAAAAAAAGAAAAAAAACTGTTTTTTTGTTTGCTTCTCTATATGTTTCATTTACTTCTGTGCCCTCATCTTATCTTTACAAAGGGGAACAAGCAGTAGTAACTCTGGAAGATGAAATAAAATTGCGGAACTTTCAGAAAACCAGAAGCTTGTTACTGGTTTGGTACGAACTAGGTCAAGTCGAGGGAAGAGGCACTTCGATAAATGAAGAGCTTATTGGGGGTGGAGGGTCTTTGAAAGGAAGTGACAATTGAATATGGGTATGCTTCAATTCATTGATTCTATTTCTACTTTCTTCAATATTCTTACAAATGTTGGTTGGTCGAATTATTAATAGCTGTACTGGATTGTGTGATTTGAATGTGGGTATGGTATAATTTGATGCCTTTTTCTGGATTGTGCAAGAAATGTTATAATACACTGTATTCCTGAATAAGAAATGTTGTATTTTTTTTTTTCCCGGTGAGTAGAAATGTTGTATTTGTTGGCTGATGATGAACAACTAAAAGGATTCTAGTTCTAGAATTTTAATGTTGGTAATGCTTTAAATTCAAGGATTTTATGATTCTATATATATATGTTTTTTCTTCCCATCAGATGCTATATTCTAATGTAAAAAAATAAATAATAATCACTGTGATACTTGAAAGTGGACATGCTGCTGTTAATAATCTACTCTTGTATTTTGAATGTGAATTAATAATCTACTCTTGGATTTGTTGGTTGATATAAATGATATTGTCTCTGTCTTGCTTTAATTATTGAACTTAATGGGTAGTTAAATATAAAATTCCCATTAAAATGGAACTTATGGCCATTCTTTACACACAGCATGTTGGAACAACATTCATGCTCTCGGTAGCGACAGTGGGTGTGTGAGATGAAATTCAAATGGGTGTGTACAGTTGACATGTTTCCAACCTCTAATGTTTGGCATTTTGTTGCTATCTTTAAATCACAATTCTTGTGGCAAGTACATTCAGCATGAGTAGGTTTTGGAAGAGTTCAATACAGTTTGAAACTAATCATTAATGCTTGTTTGGCATGATTTTTATTTTTATTCTTTGTCATGACAAGACCTCTTCTTGGTAGACCTATTCTTGGTAGAGGGTTTTTCATGTGGACGAAGCAAGTGAAATGCACAAGAGGGATGCAAACTAACACCAATGTGCAAGCTTGGTATTCTCTTGTGTTCATGTAGTGGAGCATAATTGGTAGTTGTTACTGTGACTAGAAAGAGTGTGTGAATTGGTGTAATTTGATTCTTAAAAGGACGAATTGGATTGACTACTAGAAAAAAAAGTGCCAAGACCAATGTCTGGTCAACTTGATTGTTTGTTCTTTAGACAAAATTTGGTAGTCATATCATTATTTTTTTCATGTTTTCGAATCGAAGAATGGAGATAGTGCATATCACATTGACAAAAGAATGTTTATTGAAGAAATCCTACAATTTGAACACTCAGAATCATGAACACTAATGCAAACATGTTAAAGTGAAAAAAACATCAATAATATGGTTCAGTTTGGCTCCCTTCTTTGGGATCTGAATTTGGCAGTGCAGATTCTTATAAACTTAAAAGAACAAGACAGAAATAATAATAATAGTAATGAGATTATAGATCAATGTTGTTCTTGTTCGTGCTCTGTGGAATTCACATCTGCACCTCTGACTTCCCCTCTTCTGGTGGACAGTACTTCTTCCAGAACCAGTGATTTTGCCACAGAAAATGTATCTCCTCTATTGGAACTTGCTTTGTCTCTGGCAGGAGGAAGTAGATGAAGAGGCTCATGATGACAATCAAGGCACCGAACAACAAGAAAATCCCATATTTGAGGTGACACAGAGACACGAGGAAACACTGAGCAACTAGGGCTGTGAATATCATGTTCACACACACCACTATGCTTTGGCCAGCTGACCTTGTTTCCAAGGGAAAGAGCTCACTTGGAACTAACCAACCCAAGGGACCCCAAGACCTTCCATAAGCCACGACGAATATGCAAATAACAATGACTAGGAATATGCCAATTCCTTTTGGAATCGGCTCTCCTTGTCCAAATTTCAGAGCTAGAGTAATGGCGACTGCTGCCTGCAGCAGACCAATTAAACAGTCAAGTAAGTTATGCGTTATGCCTGCAGTTTCTTAAGAAAGATTAATAATACATATACAATAAGTTGTTTGTAGAATTGAAATTTTACCATGCAGATTATCATTTCGGTACCAGCTTCCAAAAAGAAAGCTCTTCTACCGAACTTGTCAACCAAACCCATAGATATGAATGTAGCAAACACGAGTGCAGAACTGGTAATGGCAGATGAGTAGAGACTTGCTCCTGAACCGAACCCCAAGCTCTGAAATATGACGGGGCAATAGAAGAGAATGGAGTTCATGCCAGTGAGTTGTTGGAATGCAGGGATCCCCAAAGCTCCAATTACTAATTGGGGACGGTTCTTGCGCGCAAAGAGGTTTCTGAATGGGTGTTTTATGGCTTGTGCTGCCCTGCTTGCGTCAACAAGATCCTGATATTCGGCCTCCACATTGTTGGTACCTCTAACTCTCTCCAACACTTTCCTTGCTTCTTCTAATTTGCCTTGTTCGACGAGACTGTTTGGGGTCTCTGGTAGGAACAATCCCCCAACAAACATGAGAGTTGCTGGGACTGTGGCTAAACCAAGGGACAATCTCCATCCCCATGGATGGATCTTGTCAGTTCCATAATTTATGAAGTTGGCTACGAGGATCCCTATGCAAGTTGTGAGTTGAAACAGTTGGTTAACAGCTCCTCGGACTTTTGCAGGTGCCATTTCCGAAAGGTACAAAGGAACTGCCTGTACATACCACAAGAAGCAAGAATTAATTCCGAACTTTACAAAGAAAGTAATGATTGGGAACGTTGGGGGTTGGGGCTTACTTGGTTGCCGAATCCAATGCCAAAACCAAGAAATATTCTACCCACGATTAGCATGGCGACATTCTCTGCAGCTGCATTGAGGACTGCTCCAAGAAAGAAACTAACAGCTCCTACAAGTATACTGGCTCTCCTGCCCTTATTTCTGGTTACATACGAGGCTCCAAATGTGGAGACCAGCGCCGCAAAGTAGAGGGAGGATGTAAAGAGAGTCAGTATCTGATCGTCATATTTACAGTAATCTGTTTCTGTCAGATGTTTCTGTTTCCTTTCATAAACGTCTGGAAAGAATTTCTTCAAGAAATCATCCATGGAAGTCACTCCACCTGCAATTGTAATTACCATTACCATGGTGGTTAGGTTAGGTTCAGTTCACAGTTCATGTTCATTTCTTATGTTTACCACAGGTTGGTTGGTTACAATTTTACAAATCAATGCATAATTTGAGAAAAGTTTGTATATGCTTAAATATATATATAAATGATAGACAGCCATTTTCCAGGTCCACTACATGAATGGACTGATGGTATTGCATTATATTAAAATGAATGCCAGTTCTTAAATCTATCAAAATTAATAGATTTAAAAGGTGAAAAAAACAATGTAGGGTAGGGCCTAAAGAACAAGAAGCAAAAAACGATTCCAATTTGTTTTCTTTCTAAAAGAAATGACGAAAAGGACAATATAAAGCTGTCCAAGAAGGGATTTTTTTTTTTTTTTTTTTTTTCCTTTCTTTCCCTCTACTTATATACGAATAATTTCGACCCAAAATTGGAACAAGCCAGAAAAAAAAAAATTTCCAAAACAATTCGATTCAAGTCTCGATACATTTTGGTGCTTTCTGGATAAACTGAATAACGCGGACTTGTGAACTTCATTCAGAATTTCTTCTTTCGAGTGAGAATCATTTTATTTCGAGTGAGAATCATTTTCTTTCGAAATCGAAATGAAAATAATTACTAATCTCATAGTTAACAGAAACCCAGGTGGGTTAGAGATTTAATAAGATTTTATTGCAGAAAAAAAAAAAAAAAAAAAAAAACTACTCACCGGAAACACCAAGATCATACCCAAACAGAGACCCTCCCATGGCAGCAACCAAGCAAGCAAAGACAAAATAGCCAGTAATCTTGTACTCATAGAGATGAGCCCTCTTTCCACCCTCTGGATCACCAAATGCTGCCCCTGCCATTGCTGCTTCCTGTCAATGCTTTTCTCTCTCTAGAAATTAAGTTATATTTTTTTTTTTCCAATATGAAGCCAGCCGATTCAAAATCGAATGAGACAAAGAGGAAGAGAGTCAACCAACGATGTCAGACTCAAAGAAAGGGTGCTTACTGTACATTATAATGCGTGGTAGTATATATATATATATATATAGATAAATATTTACGTATATAGATATATTGAAAATGAATTTCAGATGAATACGGTGACAGTGAATGAGTTGTTTATTTGAGAAATGGGTGGATTGGGTATTTATAAGAGAAAAATGTTAGTAAAGATAAGTGGAATTTTAGAGATTTTTAGCTATTCTTAACCACTATTATAATATCAACGACTTTGACCTTATCAAACCGATACCATTTTGTAGCTCCCAAACAACTTCGCCTTCTTTTTAGATTTCAAATTCCACAAACATTCAACATGAGAAATTTTTTGAACCAAAATCAAACCTGATTTGTAGATATTTCCTATTTTTTCAATATGAGAAATTTTTCGAACCAAAAACAAACCTGATTTTTAGATATTTCGTATTTTTTCAATATAAAAAATGATAAGGAAGTTCTATTTTTTCGGGTAGTGCCAGTGGGACATACGACAGAATGGTAGGTTATTTTAATTAAAAAAAAAGTACATTTTGGGTTGAATTCAAAGTACTATTTAGTACACGTGGAAAGATGTTATTGGTCGGTGTAGCTCCATGAAAACGTAGTAGAAAGCAACTTGCACCACAAAAACACTTGGATAGAGAGAGATAAGGCAAATTAGGGTTTTTGACTGTATTTATATTTTATAGTTAGTTTCCTTTTGGATAGGAGACATTTAAGCTCTCCCTTATCCAGTTTTTTAGTTTAATATATTATTAATTACGTCTTACGATTTACCCAAATATAAGCTTGCCTTATCTACTTGTCTTTATTTTATTTTATTTTAAACATAACCCGTTCAGGATATATGTTTAAAGACTAAGATAGATTAGATATGTTGTTCATTTTAAATTTTCAAACTCTCTTTCTATGTATCAATAACACTCATGTGAGTATGATTTAAAGTGTTTTTGATAACTAATATGACATTTGATAACTCAATTTTATACTCAATCTTAAATGGACTAAGTATAAAGTATTTATCTAAATTAATTAAATTTTGTAGCGTAATTTGAATGTCAGCTATAGAAATGTAAGCGCTACATTTTAAGTGACAGGTTCACAAGGCTCAATGCTTAAAAGTTGAAAAAGATAATAATATATATTTTTTAATTATCATTTTAGAACTTCAACATTTAAAATCCAGCAATTAAAATTTTTAATACTTAATTTTAGTTTTATCAAATAGCACGCAATTGAATACTTAATATAAATAAATGAAATTAATACTTATTAACTAAGTATATTACAATGAAATATTGATATACCTTCACATAATTTTAAGTGGAGAAAATTTCAAATATCACTTCAGGATCAATTAGCATTAAAGAATAAAGTATTTAAAAAACCTCAATTTATATAATTGGCACCTAAAATTCAACTTTTAAGCTTTTTATTATTAATATTTAGCTTTATATATAAAAAAAATACCCACAAAAGTCGACGACAAGGCAAATGTCACAATTAATCCTATTGCATGCATACCTTCTTCCGTATCAATACAATAAATAAGAATAATGTGTTTTAAAGAAGATACTTCATTTTACATGCTTAAAAAGGAAATTGGTTGATTCTCTCATTGAATTGATTTGTGGGTAATGAGTAATGAGTAATGACATGTCTGTAATTTTTGTTAAACGATATTGTTTCTTTTTTGGGATCAAATTATCATGTAATTATAAAAACTTTTAATACAATTATCTGAAAAAAAAAATAAAAAAAATTTAATATTATCTTAATATTCATTTTTATGATATGTACCAAATAAAAGAATAGAAGTGGTTGTCCTTTTCTCTTGGTTGTTTCAGTTGCCTAAAAAAAGGGACCACGCAATTAAAGTGAACAACACAACTATGATGCATGGAAAGGGGTTGTACAGCTCATGCATGTTGGCTGTGCCTATTATTTGCTGTGCTACAAACTCATGCAATATGTCATTTTAAAGCTTTATTGATAATGTCATTGCACAATCTCTCTCTCTCTCTCTCTCTCTCACACACACACACACACACACATGTAGATAAGAAAGTAAGGAAATATCATTTTAGTCGGATTGTTGTGGTTGGTATTGTTGTTTCTAAGAATACAATAAGTCCATGGAAAAAAAAGAAGAGAAGAACACGAGTCCTAATTTATTGGGCAAAAATAGTGGCGTAGTGAGGAATTTCCTTATGTGGGAGAATCTTTAATAGTAATAATGTATAATTTGTAATCCTAGTTCGTAATTAGGATTTGAATGAAGATTTGCTAAATCAATCTTCATATGACTTTTTTTTTTTTTAAATTTAAAAATCTTTCCATATAAAATTTTTAAAAAATTAAAAGTTTAGCGGGACAGTTGCCTCCACTTGTCCCTCTTGACTACGTGCAAAAATGACTAAAAAAGGAGTACCGTTGAGCATTTCTTTGAATTGTTTTTTTTTTGTTTTTTTGTTTTTTCCTTGGAGTTTTGAGTCCTTGCGTTGAAATTTGTGTTGAGCTTGTTAAATTGAATGTCTTTCTTTTTGGTTAAAATAAGAAAAGAAAAATGGTCTTGTGCTTCATCTCAAGGGACAATATATTATATGGGCTGAAATATGTCCAAATAATAAATATGCTTGTTTTTTAAAGAGATAAAACAAAAAGAAAAAGACGCAAAAGCAATGAATTTAGCTAAAACAAAAGTCGTCTAGATTTATTTAGTTATAATGATCGTGACCAAATGACAATAATAATAATAACAATAACAATAATAATAATAAAACAAAAGTCGTCTAGATTTTTTTGTTACATCACAACAACGACCTTTAAAGAAAATATATTCTTTACGTGAGATTTGGGGAGTCCCAACCCGGATAAGCTCCTGTGAAAATTTTTAAATTTGAATACTGCAAATTGCAATTCGATATAAGTTTGGACTGAAAAGTAATAACCCGATTTTATTTTGGGTTGGACTCAATTTGCAGCGTCGGATTTTGGGTTGGACTTAATTTGCAGCGTTGGACAAGTTGAAGCTCAACTCCAACCGGTTCCAAATTTAAAAAACCAACCAACTTTATATATATATATCTTAGTGGCATATGATTGGTTATTTAGTGGAACATATATTATATGCCACATATTAAACGTGTTAGTTTTTTATGCCATGCCAATATATTTAATTATTCTAGTTGTGAAAAAATTATGATTATTTCATTTGAATTACATCAATTTAAATTGTAATTCGAAATATTAATCAGAGTTAAAAGTCCGAATTTAATGTGAAATCTCAAGCTTGAATTGAAACAGAGCTTAAAAATTAAAAATGAATTAAACTCTAGATGATTAGTATGGGTTAAATTTGAAGATTTTAGATTGAGTTAAGATACAACTCGTCCTAATTGCACTTTTAACTAATCGATTATCGGATTTGAACAGACTTAAGATTGATTGAGTTGGGCTCCTTTTGTTTTAACGTTGGACTTTGAACTGAATGAACCAGAGACCTATGGGCCTAATTTCTATGTCCTAGTTGCACCTCTAATTAATAGATTATCGGGTTTGAACAGACTTAAGATTGATTGAGTTGGGCTCTTTTTGTTTTAGCGTTGGACTTTGAACTGAATGAACCAGAGACCTATGGGCCTAATTTCTATATCCTTTACCATGGATATGGTCTGTGGACTATCCCAATCCGGAATGTAAGATGAATTTTCTTTTCAACCCAATGGAAAATTGAGAAATATAGGATGAAAAAAACTTGGATCATGATACGTAACTCGTATACTGTTGATTTATGTGGACGATGTTCTCATTTGTTTTTAACTAGAACTCACTATCTATTTATTTATTTATTTATTTATTATTATTATTATTTCTCTTGGTGCAACACTAATTGCAAAATCTATGGAAGTATTTGCCGTTATATATGTATTTTTTTTTATTTATTTAAGCAAATTCATCAGTTGTTCTCGGTATTTTTGCTACTGTTAAAAAAAAAAAAAAAAATCAGTTGTTCTCGGTAGCATGAATTATAATTTTAAGCATTATTATTATTTTTTTATATATATTTTTTATAAACTAAAATGCCAGTTAACGTTTCTCATTGTTCTAGAAAAGACAAAATTACAGCCTCATAACATAATCAGATCAGGAGTCCTCCTATCTCACATACACTTAATAATTATCATATATATATATATATATATATATAAATTTATAATTGGAATTCCTTGCTTCCAAGATGTGTAAGGGGTTAATTATCGAAAAAAAAAAAAAAATGTGTGAGGGCCGTGAGGCAGAGTCAAATTACTGTTGAAGTAGTTAAAAACGTTTCATTCTCTCTTATTATTATTATTTTTCGAATTCTTAAACTAAGCAATTAATAATTACTATACTTATTTTCTTTTCCTTTTCTTTACATACTTCCAAAAATAAAATAAAAGAAAAAACAAGTTAATCACACCAAACAGAAACCCTAATTTACCTATAAAGTAGGCATCTTGTTCTCCAAGATGGCGCGACAATGAAATCAAAGTTTTTTTTTTTTTTTTTTCTTCATTGACAAGAAATTCACACACACATCACTCACCTATCCACTTTATTCCTTTGAAAACTTAAACTTTCGATCATCCATTTTGAAAGGTAAAAAAATACCACTAAATTACAAGTCCCTTGATTTATATCCCTTTTGACTTCTCACAAATTTTATCATTATTTATATTATATTTATGTTTTGAAGTGTTCTAATGATTTTTGGTTTCTTTTGCCCTCATTGTGTCTTTAATGAGTTTGTATTGCAATGTTTTACATTTTTTTTAATAATTTTGTTAAGGACTCAAAAAAGTTGTGTTTCCAACAGAAAATTGAGCATAGTATCAGGAGAGCATTGAAGAAATTAAATTATGGAAGAAAACTCAGAAATTATGGCCAAAAATGCCTCTGAAGAACTGAAAGAAAAGACTATTGCTGCTTTGATTCTGGCCTCCTTGAAGCACGTGAAATTGAATAAGAAGAAATCAGAGGAGTTGTGCGGATTGAAAAGTAAGTTACTTGGAAGTTTTGAAGCAAACCAGCCACAAGTGGCCCAACATAGCATGGATTCTGGGCACAGCCAAATAGGGTTGTGTATGTCTAACCCTCGGCAATGGCGAAAGTCTTGTGCACAAGATTTGGCCAATACATCTAACTCTTCTCATATTTCACAATGGCGGGAGTCCCGTGCAACGAATTTGCCCACTACTAGTAGCGATGAGGGAACGTCACTGCCGGTTCTAGCAGACGAACAAACCACATTCAGTTGGATTCCACCGGCACTCCCTCCGGTTGAGAGGGTGAATGGGCTTATTGGGAGGTGTAGTAGGCCTTTCGAGAAACAGTTGACAAAAAGTGATGTGAGTGAAGTTCAAAGTAGGTTATCTCTAACCAATAATTGTGTCATACATTTTATCATGCCATTATTGTATCCAAATGAAAATATAGCTGAGGGAATTGATGTAACAACTTATGATTATAAGGGTAAGGAGTACCCGATGGTGCTTAGGAAGTGGCCTTCAAAGACTCATGTTCTCAATTGTGGATGGAACACCTTTTCTCATGAACATTCTTTGAATCATCAGGACTTTGTCACTGTTTGGATGTTTCGACATAATCAAACTGAGAAGCTTTGTTTTGTTATAATCTCGAGGCAATTTACAGAGCATCTACAACAACCCATCAAGAAGAAGAGGGAAAGGCAGCAAAGGACCATAATGAAGAGAAGACAGTGATGAACAAATTATTAGTATTATTTTAGGTTTAGTAGTGTTTTTTCTTTAGGTTATGGTATAATGAAATACTATTATGAGTCTGTACGAGGCTTTTGAATTTTAGTTTGGTTTTTATTAATTTATGATTTACCCAAGCAACAATTACAAAAGGTACCCAAACAATCCTTATAAGAATTGTTCTTTAAAAGGTTCATATACTGTACAAATTTTTGCAAATGGTCTTATGTATTGAGATTTTGCTCACCTAAACTATTAAAAATGTTCGGAATATGCTTCTCTGAGATAATATTTTTTACTCCCTCATCCCATAAAACTTCCCAATCTGGATGGTAAAGGGGTAACATTTTTAACGAGGGGATGGTTAGCAAAAACTTACTCATGGTGCTACAATTTTTATTTTTATTTTTATTTTTATGTTTTTTGGTAATTAAACTGAATAATAATAATAATACATCAAAATCACGTGGTGGGGAGTAAAAAATAAACAATCGAACCACTCCCACCGTTCCATTTCTCTGTTTTCGTCTGTTGAGTTTTTTCCCCCAAAATCTCTCTCTACCTCTACACCGATCTTCAGTGCTTCACCTAGGGTTTGCTTCATGACTCAGGTATTCATATTATCTCTCAATTTTGTTGGGTAGCTTATCAATTTTTATTTTCTGTATGGTAGTTTAAGCTTGTTTGACAATCGTATGACTTCTTTAACCTTATATTTGTTGTCCGAGTCAATGAATTTTAACCAAAATTTTGATCGTGTTGTTTTAGATTTGATCGATTTGAACGAAAATTTACTTCTATTTATTTATTTATTTTGGTTTGGGTTTTCTTTTGAGTATTTGGTTGAATTGGTGGCAGGGGGATTTTATTTATTGTGTATGCTAAATTTGTTTGATAATTAAAGATGTTAAATTTGGTGAGTTTGTCTGAAATTGATTGCATGAAAAATATACACCAATTTTTGGGATTTCAGTTCTGTTAATATGGTTCTCAGATCTAATTAGTTATACTGGTGATTCTAAATGGTTAATTAGTAAGGTAATTAAGCTGGTTTGCTGAGAATTGTTTGATCTGCATAGGCTTTCTTATGAAGGGCATGCTATAGCTGTTAGGTTTTGGGTATGAGCTTGTTTAACATTTAAGTAGAGTTGGTAAATGGGATGTAAGTGAGACCAATTGTTAGAGTGGTTTATATCTTTTACATATTTGGAGTAGTTAGATTAACAATCACAGATTGAAAATCATACCCTGTCCCCCATTAAGGTAAATTTCAGCTAATATCTATTACAGTTACTCTTTCTATTCACTTAATGAACAAACTCGCGACCAGGAAAGCAACTAATTGTGGTTGGTGTAATTCCTAGATTTTAATATCGTTTTTGCATAAAATCACCTTTTTCTCCTTTTTAATTTGATAGCAGAGGAACATGACAGAAATTCCATTGATTTTGTGAAATATGTTATTATTGTTGGCAGTTAATGATAGAATGATGCGTTCTCCCAGTACCCCATAAGTCTCTGTAATGGATGGATTGTGCAGTTCTTTTTTATTAGATAGGTTCTTAATTCGGCGTTTACATCATGAAAAATGTGGATAAGCTATACAGATGAGTATTACACTTTTGTTCCATCAAAATGAAGGATGAGAATCGGCTTGAGCTTAGGTTAGGACTGTCTTTGGGTGGATCATCTGTTGAATCAGAAGGCACAAATGGTATCTCTGCAGATAGTAAGGCAAATAGAGGCGATAGAGGCAACAAATTGGTGGATGATTTCAAAAACTTTCAGAAACAGGAGTATGACTCGGGGGCTCAGAAAAGTGATCCAGTAAAACCTGAGGAGAACTTCTTTAGAAACCTTTCTAGTGATATGCTTGATGTGGATGGTTCTAGAAACTTGAATGAGGGAGGGCTTTTGGTTGCAGACAGTAGCAGATCAGCTAAAGTTGAAGAAGAGAATATTCCACAGACTGGTAATGAACCTAAGATCTTGTTTGATGAGACAAGCCATCGGAAGAAGCGCGAGAGAGAATCCCATCATGCTGAGATACATGAAAAGAGAAGAACGTCACACATTTCCATAAACACTGATGATGGCTCAACTGCTGATAATGAAGATGTGGCTGATTCTGAATTCGAGAGTTCAACCTCTAGACTGGTTCCGCACCATGATAGTGGCTCCAAAAGATACATTGGGAGTGGTGGCTCATCTGAGGTTCCAAAGGAGGTTCGCATGGTTAATGATTCAACTGTTGTGGACTTACAAGGGCAAAAAAGGTCTAAAATTTCATCAGAAAAAGAATTTAGCCTTGGGAACATGCCATATAAGGGTGTTCCTTTTCTGTCCCAATCCACAAACATCATGAACTTTCATCACCCGTTACATGTGGAGTCAAACTCAGTTAGTGCGCCCAGCACATCGGGATATCCAATACCTGGCATGATGCAGGTCATGGCTGTTGCAAATAGCGAGAGATCAGGGGCCCATACTTTGATGCCTGGAAACTTACCATTGATGTTTGGCTGTTCTCCTGTTCAGCTTCCGTCGTTGGATAAGGATAATTCCTGGGGTTTGGTTTCTCATCCTCAACTACTCCACCCATCCCTTGCTGGCAGGGGTCTGTCAAACTCAGACAAACAAACTGATGGGCTGAAGATATCCCAAGGTTTTTCTCTCTCTCTTCTCTACACTCTTTTGATCATTAAGTAGCCATGGATAGAATAAATAAAAGATGGATATGTGTTTGGTGATATGACATGGGTTCTGTTTCCATTCTCTTAAACATCACTAGGAGGATCTAGTTGTTAGATTGCCAATTTTTGTTACTTCAATATTTTTCCTTTTAATGCCTTTTCACCTGGCAAGGATGTAAAATGAATCACTTTAATAAATCTTGTTAAGCCATAAGAAACTGGGTTTGTGCTGTATTTTTAGATATATTCATGTTTACAATGTAAAAAATAAAAAAAAAACGGAAGACATTTGTGTATGGGGCACATTTATACTACAAGAGTATTTATGTGCATATTGATTCCAGTATCGAACCATTGAATAGTTTTTTTATGTGCATATTGATTCATTTTATGTTCATATTGATTCATTCTGTACTGTTACCTAAAATTTTTTAGTAGGTAAACTAATGTCCTGACAACTTATATCAATATTAAAACTTTTTACTGTGCGATGATAATTCTTTCTGGTACCCTGTTTTGTTCTAACAATGTGATTCTAAATGAGTTCCTCTTGCCGAATGGATGTAGCTGCCATGCCTGGGATGCCACACAAGTCATCTGAAGCTCCACAATATGATGGGAGGGCATTAGAACGGGCCAAGATTGATGGAAAAGAACATGCCACTGGAGAAGGTTCCTCTTCTCAGACAAAAGATGATGAGAATGGTAGCAACATGATTCTCTGGGCAAAAAATTCATCCGACCACCCATCTGAATATCCGGCTATAAGGCCAGGCATTGATGCAGACCTGAAATTCGGGGGATGTGGTTCCTACCCAGATCTACCATGGGTTTCCACAACAGGTCTAGGCCCAAATGGTAGGACGATATCTGGCGCTACTTACAGATATAGCGCAACGCAAATCAGGATTGTTTGTGCTTGCCATGGTTCCCACATGTCGCCTGAAGAGTTTGTTCGGCATGCCAATGAAGAGCAAACGAATCCAGCTACTGCCGGTATGGTGTCATTTCAAAGTAGCAATCCTGCCTCCTCTGCTCAAAGCTGAGGATTTCTTAATTCCTTCTTCAGATTGGTTAAATAATAAATATTGAGATCTGATGTGACGAGGAAGACACCTGCGTATGGTTTTACGTACCACATGTAAGATTCCTCTTCACCTGTCTCACTATACATGCGTAGTTATTCAAATTTCTTTCAATGTTGTCTTAGCAGCTGCAATTGATAATCAGGTATATGTAATAATAAATCTACTAACGGATTGGTAAATGTTAGAGACTTGAGCCAATGAGCTATATGTAATTGCCATATTCTACTATACAAATACTCAAATTCATGGTGATGAGTTTGTAACTCAATATGTACAAGTGGCATATAGTAAGATCATAGTAATCATTAAATTTACCATATTTGAATTCATATGATAGATCAATATCCTCAATTGAGAACATGGAATCATCGATTTGAACCAGATGTGTGAATATGGGAAAAAAAAAAAAAAAAAATTACAGGTATTTTATTTTATTTTTTAATATATAGTCATAACCATTTATGGCAGCAGTTGGCTTTAGCCTCAAATTTATAGAATAAAAAGACGAAATTCCTAATACATAAATGTTAGCACCAGCATAATTTAGCTACTCTATTTAATTCTTTTAATTGCTTGGTAGTGGCTCCATTGCCCTGGCTTCCCTATATGTATATAACTTGCGAAAAATAATGTCCGTAAAAAAAACTGTTTGCGACACCAATCAATATTTTGTGGTCATCAAGCTTGTTACATGTCATTGCTTCGGTCATACAATAATTTGATTAGATTAATTACCAATAAATTTTGTAGACACCAATCAATATTTTGTGGTCGTCAAGCTTGTTACATGTCATTGCTTCGGTCATACAATAATTTGATTAGATTAATTACCAATAAATTTTGTAAAAATTTTAAAAATGTCCCTACTTAATTTCTAATGATACTCCATTATATATTATTGTTGTTCAAAACAGCCCCTTATACAATTCTTTATGTCCATCACTGATCTGAAATACAATATCAGTAAATAACTAATCATTTGGTTCTAAAGAACAAAGTGCAAGCATTTACAAATCGTGCTTTGTTTGACCAACCCTAGCTTCCAGTCAATTGGTTGAGGTTTTAACCACCTCGATTACTCAAGGATAATGATTTTAGACATCATAGTTAAAAATCTCTGGAATGCATTTGATAAACCTTTTGGTAGCATTACGGTGTAGACAATTAGGTCTACACCAATTAGGTTTAAATAGCATAGTCTTGCTTAAATCATCACATATCAAGAGAAGTTCATTACAAGTGGAAGGGATCAGGTTAGACTAATAAGTTTAAATAACATAATCTCGCTAAAATTAATAGTTCACATACCAAGAAAAAGTTAATTACGAATGGAGGAATCAGATTAGACTACTAGGTTTTCAAGAAAAATGCTTCTTAAGTCGATTTGTCAAATCTATTTATGTAACTGAAGAGTTTCTATCTGTGTGATATAGCAGATGGTCCACTGCATTAAAAACATTAGACTTTTCTACTAAACAAATCGTTCTAGGATTAAATAGCACATATCAAGAAAAAGTCATTACTAGTGGAGGAATAATAGCTAACTATTAAATTCAAAGATTGTTGTATGCATGAAGTCACCTACCTGTAATCAAGATAGATCCTAATTCTTGACTTTGTGGGTATATTAAGAGCTTGGGAAACAAGTCAATCTTACTTTTAATATTATTCAAAGCATATAATTAAACAAAGCTAATTTCACCAATATGGAAAGAGAAACAAAGTCGTCCCAAAAAAAAAAAAAAAAAACCTCATCTCTTGCTCTCCACGAAAGGACCACTATTGTGATCCAACGGCAATTATATAAAAAATTGCTTGCATATGGCCTTTTAGATTTTATTAATTAGAAAAACCAACCATACGGTAATAAAATTGAAGGGCAATTTTCACTTATAAAAAAAAAAAAAAAATTTAAGGGCAATTTTCATAACACAATTTTAATAAAACTGAACAAAGTTATCTAAAAACAGAAAAATTGTTTTTTATTGACAAATCAAGGGTTTCTTCTGATTTTTAATTTTTATTTTTATCATCTAACTTAATAAATGAATCACTATAGAGACGGCCAGTATTTGCAAACTTACCTACCACAAACGAACTGATGAAAAATTCCAGTGACTTTATTAAATGTTCCAGTGCTAATGCTGTTCAGCATCATTGAACAGAAGCTGAAGATCAACTCGTAAGAATATGTGTGGACAGTACTATGAATCTATGGTCCGCCATTAGTACTATTGGTTTTCGCGGAAAACTAGATGTTTTACCTAGGTTTCTTCACTTGCACACACAGCAATGTTACGAAAAGATTCGCAACAAAAGTAATAATATCTTTATATTTAATCATTGAAGTGAAATAATTTTTTAAAATTTATAAATAATTAATACATCTTTAAATATTTAATCATTGAAGTGAAATAATTTTTTAAAATTTATAAATAATTAATACATCTTTAAATCATGTGGTAGGTTAAATATGAATAGTTCATGCCTTTAGCCGTCGTGAAATTTTCTGAAAGTGATTTTTCTATTTATATAATTGCATCCAACCGGAGTGTTGGCTCCTTTCACAAGAATATGGAAAGAGAAACAAAGTCATACAAAAAGAGAACTATATAAACAAGTATGTATATATTATTATTATTATTATTATTATTATTATTATTATGTTCTAACTTTATGTGAAAATTCTTATGGTAGTTATATATATATATTATAAGACAATATTTAGATCTTATTCACTTTATTCTTATTATTGATGTGGATCAATAATAAATAGATACATTTTATTTAATTAACAAATAAAAAATGGTGACATTGAACTTGTTCAAATTTATAAGAGAGGCTATTTTTTTAATTTCGAACCTATAACCCCTGGATCATAATAAAACTACCTTACCATTGTGATTAGGCTCGCCTTCAATTATTTAACTATACAAATTATAATAATTTCTCAAGTTAGTAGATACCGAAACTTCCTGTGAAGAAACCAAACTAACTAACAAATTAAGTAAAAGGACACCTTTTGGGGTGAGGCATATAAATAACAGTCCTGCATAGCAAACCTAATGTGATCATACTACCCTGTTATTAGAATTCCAAGCAAGTTTCTAAAGTCTAATCTTCCCATGAATCAATTAGTTGTGTTCATTTTACTTGTTTTCTTCTTCTTCTTCCATGTCAAAGCACAATCTCCTAGCTCTGCGCAGGACATGCTTTCCCAACATCCAACCAGTTTTCAACATGCGAACATAACATTTGTCATCGGTGTCCTCTGCGTCATGGTTTCACTAATATTCATCATCCTTGTCTTTGCAAAGTTCTATCTTCTGTCATCATCTGTTGATAACAATCAACAAACTCAAGATGGAGTACTTACTCAATCAAGGCCTCGATTCTCCGGAATTGATAAAACAGTGGTCGAGTCTCTTCCTTTCTTCAGATTCTCTTCACTCGATGGATCAAGGGAAGGACTTGAATGTCCAGTTTGCCTATCTAAGTTCCAAGATACTGAAATTCTTCGGTCACTGCCCAAGTGCAAGCATGCCTTTCACATCAACTGTGTTGATCCATGGCTCGAGAAGCACTCAAGCTGTCCTCTTTGCAGGACTAAGGTCAGTGCTGATGACCTTACGTACTCGAATAGTTCAAACTACTTATGGAACCAGTCAGAGCGGCGACAGGACTCAAACTTGGAGCTTGTTGTCCAGAGAGAGGAAGACCATCATGGCTCTTCAAGATTTTGCAGTGGAAGTAGCTTTAGGAAATCTGGAAAGGGTAAGAAAGAAGAAGAATTGCCAATCCAAGAAAATTGTGATAGCCACGAAAATGAAAAAGGTCTGCATAAGTTGAAGAATAGATGGAGCAGTGTGAGTTCTTCTGACCTCATGCTCTTGAATTCAGAGATGCTTAATGCTATGTCAAGCTATAGATTCTCTTCATTGGATACAAATAACGATCAATTCGTTACAGGGAGTAGGGTTGCAGAGAGAGAAATTATGTTGAATCCCAAGGCAGAGAGATCGATGTCAGAGATAGCAGTTCATCCAAGATTTATAGAGCTGAACATGAGAAGTAGTATTAGAGACTCGACTCATCCTGAAAATAATGTCGAGGAGGACAGATTGAAGAGACTTTGGTTGACAATTGCACGAAGAACAGTTCAATGGTTTGCAAATAGAGAGGAAAGGACACAACAGTACTCTCACAACACAAGAGAGTCACTGAATGTGTAGTTTTGCAAAATTTGTGCATTTCAAACTACTAATGAGGAGTGTGAAACCTCGCTCATTGAGCACTCTATTTAAGCTGATCAAGAGGAGCAGATGTATCATCCATTTGTTTATTTCCATGATTCACTTGGAACTTCATATTAAGTTTGTTAATTGATCATGTTCTTATTGTAAATAGATATAGTAGCACTCTGTATATGTTTTACACATCATATATAACCAAGGGTCTTGATAGCTTCGGAAATGTGAATAGACATGAGTTTTTCAAGATTGATTATTAGGTGCAAACAATTCTTTAGAGAGAATGTACGAGTACAAAATAAAAAATAAAAAAAAATAATTCTTTGAAGATTTAGTTCCTCAAAAAGCAATTTTATTTATTAATTAATTTATTTTTTCCTGACATAAAAGCAATTTTATTTAATACGAAAAAATTACAGGCATTTTATTTTATATTTTAATATATATATATAGTCATAACCATTTATTAGCAGCAGTTGGTTACGGCCTCAAATTTATAGAATACTTGGAAGAAATTAATTTCTAGTACTCAAATGTTAGTACCAGTATAAATTAGCTAGTCTATTTAATTTTTTAATTGCTTGGTAGTGGCTGCATTGTCCTGCTTCCCTCAGCAGACATAGCAAAAGGTACCACAGTATATATATATATATATGGTAAGCCTTGAGGAAAATAATGCTAAGTCAAAAAACTGTTTGTGACAGCAATGAATATTTCGTGTTCATCAATTAAGCTTGTTACATGTCATTGCTTGTGTCATTATATAATAAATTAATTACACTAGGGAATGCCTCCGGATCTTCTGTTTTCAAATCTATTCCTTTTAAGTTGGTTTTTTTAGTGAGATAAGAATAAACTATAAAAGACATCATGCTTCAACACATCGATTTTGGACCATAGTTTTCTTTTCTTTTTAGTAAACTTTACTAATGAAAACAGCTTCTTTTTATGAAGGAGTTGTTTCTGACTCTTGATGTAACATTGCAAATTTACAGTTCCATTGTATTAACTGTTCTTTTTATTTTTATTTTTATTTTTTATTTTTTTTATTTACATAAATTACAAACTGGATAAAAATAATAGGCAACTCAAAGTCAAATGAGAAATGAGCTAAGGGTAAGAATAAATCCCCTGTGGAATCATAAAAAATCTCTCTAACGATTACCGACAGTTACCATTTCCTATAAGAAGATAAATAATCGACTTGAAAGGTACACCAAAATTTTTATATTTAATCTTTTATCGGAGATTCAATCATGAGGTACTAACTTAACCGTGGCACCACGCCGGTATCACTTCTCTTTTCTGTTTTGCATGAAACACACCCACTCTTGACGCGGTCTGTGGGAAGCGCAAAATAATTACATTTCCAACCCAATTTGTGGTTTCCACGCATATATCACCAATGGCGAAATTTCCTCACCAAGGTAGTCGTCAGCCGCCGTCACAATCATCAGATACCACTACCTCTGGAAGGAGATCCACAATATTGCATGCTGGAGAAACACTCTCTATCTTTGGATTACCCGTTTAAATTCAAGTTCGTTCTGTTTAACAAAAACATTCTCTCTGGAGCCCCTTTAGATCTCTCAATTTTATATTTAATCCTTTATCCGAGATTCAATCATGAGGTACTAACTTAACCGTGGCACCACGCCGGTCATCACTTCTCTTTTCTGTTTTGCATGAAACACACCCACTCTTGACGCCGTCTGTGGGAAGCGCAAAATAATTACGTTTCCAACCCAATTTGTGGTTTCCACGCATATATCACCAATGGCGAAATTTCCTCACCAAGGTAGTCGTCAGCCGCCGTCACAATCATCAGATACCATTACCTCTGGAAGGAGATCCACAATATTGCACGCTGAAGAAACACTCTCTATCTTTGGATTACCCGTTTGAATTCGAGTTCGTTATGTTTAAAAAAACATTCTCTCTGGAGCCCCTTCAGATCTCTCAATTTTGCTGACGACCATTCAATTGTAATGCTTCAGGTATGCCTCACACTGACCAGCTATTCAAAGTCATTGGCATTCGTCTCCTCAATTGGTTACAACTTGGTGATTGTAAATTACAGGTCAGTCATGGGTTTCTCTTTCCTGTTTTAGTTTTCATAAAAGTATGTAGATTTTAATTCTTCAAAGCTTCTATTCTTGTGCGTCTAAAAATCAAATGTACGATCATGTTCTCTTGGATAATTGGCTAAAAACTGAGTGTCATATTTGATAGTAAAGTGGGCATAAGACCCTAAAAACTGAGCTTCTATTAATAAACTGAGTGGATAATTGGCTAAAAACTGAGTGTCACAATAATAATTGGCTAAAAATCAATGTACGATCCCAAGGACAAACTGTGGTGGAAATATTATTGTGACACTCAGTTTTTGATAGTAAAGTGGGCACAAGACCCTATTGCAAAATTTAGCCCAAAAGATGAGTACATATATGAAGTGAACAGTACCCGCGGACATAGTAAATTTATAAGATAATGAGAGATTTTTCACCGTTTTTATATTACTATCAATATATATACACATATATACAACCCGAGAACAGAGCTCCAGCCTTATATACACACACACACATATACACACAGTGAGCACAACCGAGAGCGACATTTAATTATAAAAAAAAATGAGAGCAATGGACAAGAAGATATCGTCCATTAATTCTAACTGTATATAGCTCGGTTGGTCTCGAAAGTGATTATAGTGCAAGCTTCCATCATCGCAATCTACAGAAGCTTTTATCCAAACTTGATGCTTCCATTCACTCTATTTGACATTTTACTTGCTGAGTTGCTCATTCATATTCTATGAATAAGAGTCATTCAACCTAGTAAAGCTGTCCAATCTTTTTGAAGCATGGATTGAAGCTGAACCAAAATCGGATATTCTACTTCAGTCTTCATATTGACAAGACCGAAGCAACTTTTGATCCTTCAACCGACATATATTTGTGTTACTGGAGCAGTGAATTTTACTGACACCAACATGATATATGCACTTGTGCAATGCGCTACAGACTTGAATTTCTAATACACGCCTTGAACCTGTGATAGTGAATATTTCAAGTTATTACTATTTTTCTTGAGGGCAAGACTTCTTAGCTGGAGTTGCTAGTTGAATGGATGAGCCGAGTGAAGTTCATACTAATCTTCTTCCCTTATTAAAGGGTGACCTGTGTGACGCTTATAGTAATCTACTTCCCTTGTTAAAGGGAGAGCTGGATGATGTTTAATGCTCATAGTACTCTACTTCCCTTATTAAAGGGTGAGCTGGGTGACGCTCATAATAATCTACTTTCTTTGTTAAAGGGAGAGTTGGGTGAAGCTCATAATACTCTACTTCCCTTATTAAAGAGTGAGTTGGGTGACGCTCATAATAGTCTACTTCCCTCATTAAAGGGTAAGCTGGGTGACACTCATAGTACTCTACTTCCCTTATTAAAGGGTAAGCTGGGTGAAATTCATAGTAATCTACTTACCTTGTTAAAGGGTGAGCTGAGTGAAATTCGTATTAATCTACCTCCTTATTAAAGGGGCGAGCTAAATGAAGCTCATAATCGTCATTCCCGTATTAAAAATGGGTTGAAATAAAAGTGCCCCGTACTATCAGGGCCCGAGCTGAATGAAGCTCGTAATTGTCGTCCTCCGTATTAAATGGGGTCGAAATAAGCTTGTAAAATATACTTCCCTTTTTCAAGGGCGAGTTGAGTGAAGCTCATAAAATATACTTCCCTTTTTAAAAGGTAAGCTCATTTAGCTTAAGAAAGCATATTCTCTCAGCTCATGAAGTTCGGACAAATCTGCTTAATTCTTAAAGGATTAAGAGAGGTTAACCAAAAAGAGGTCGCCTAACGAAGGTTAACCTAATATGAGATTGATTTCTGCTAAAGAGAGGTCAGTCAAAAGACACTTTGACATTCTCGATGCTTGACAAGCAAACACGAAAATGGGGGGCAACTGATAAAGATAAAAATAATAGGCAACTCAAAGTCAAATGAGAAATGAGATAAGGGTAAGGATAAATTCCCAAAATCTTTGTGGAATCATAAAAAATTTCTCTGACAGTTACCATATGTAACGACAGTTATCATTTCCTATAAGAATGTAAATAATCGACTTGAAAGGTACGCCAAAAATTTCATATTTAATCCTTTATCGGAGATTCAATCGTGAGGTACTAACTTGACTGTCGGAGTGCTCCCGGCTGGCACCACGCCGATCAACACTTCTCTTTTCTGTTTTGCAGGAAACACCCTGTAATACCTCTAATTTTAAAAATTAGTCTCGGCATTTTTGTAATTATCTATACTGCATTTTTAGTTGTTTATTTGTTTATTTGCCTGATTATGGTAATTAATTGATTACTTGTTTTATTTAATTGAATAGTTGTTTGTTTAATTGTTTTATTTTCTTTAATTAAGTTGTTTGTCTTAATTGTTAATGGTTTATTAATTAATTTAAATGGAATAAATGGAATTAATTGGATTAAATTAGTATTGTTAATTGTAATGTTTAATTAGGGTTTTAGTCTGTTAGGGGTCACGTATTAGCCGACTTAAATTATAAGTATTATTGTTTTCTTTTCCTTCTCGGATCATAATTAGAATTAGGGTTATATTTTTTCTAAGCCTATAAATATATCATTACGTTGGTTTAGAGTTTGAAAAACATAAAACATAAATTCTATTCACGTAAAGAGAGGGTTGAGAGAACAGAGACATCAGTTAGGGCTACCAAGGAGGACCGAGAAGGTTTTGTTTGTGGATTTAAACCAGAGCAATAGGAGGTTAACAGTGAACGGACGTTGTCGGAAAACTTAGGAAGACGGCCACAAGGTTTTGATTCCCAAAACCACACAAGCAAGTTTTATTCTGTCTCTCTCCCCTTGGCCTGTGTTCTGTGCATACCTAGATAATCTCTAGGAGTTTAATTGGACACTAACTTAATCTTGCATGCTTAGTATAAGTTAAATTGCTTGTCTGTATGTGTTGAATTTTATCTGATATGGTTCTTGCAAGTTTGGGTTTCAGTTTTGGTCTTTAAGCATGTTAAATCGGTAATTGTTTTAATGTTCTTTATGATGCAAACTGTTTTTAAATAATGGTTTGGGATGATACTGGATGTAATTAAAGACCCTTAGGTTCAGTTTTAAAGAAGAACAGAACGGTTGGAAGCGACCAGAGGCGA